AGAGCAGAGCTCAGTCCTGCCCCTCCTCTGCCCCTGCCCAGGCAGTTGGAACTGCAGGGAGGTCTCCCCTCAGTCTCCTCTGCTCCAGCTGAACACACCAAGTGCCCTCAGTGTCCTCACACGCCTTCAAATCCAGGCCCTTCCCCATCCTCGTGGCCTCCTTTGGACACTCTCCAATGGCTCAATCTCCCCTTCCATTGTGTCCCCCCAAACTGCCCCAGCATTGAGGTGAGGCCCCAGGGCAGAGCAGAGCGGGACAATCCCCTCCCTGCTGCCCCCAGGACAGGGATGTCCCTCCTGGCTGCCAGGGCACTGCTGACTCAGGGACAACTGGCACCCACCAGCACCCCCAGGGCCCTTTCCTGTCACTGCTCTCCAGCCTCTCATTCCCCATTCTGTACAAAGATGTCCTGGGGGAAAGTAAAACTGGGTGAGCCAGGAATGGGTGTGGTAATCCCAGTTTCCAGGTTGCAGTAGGAAGGGAAGGATATGCTGTTGCCAGCCATTAAAATCAATCTTTGCAGGTGAATCCCTGACAGCTGGCGCTGCGAGCAGCAGCTGGATCTCCCCACGAACACACACTTTGCTAAAGCAGTGACAGTTTTTACAAGTCATCTGCTCCCAGTGGCACTTCTGGAAGGACAGGGAAGCACAGCTGGCAACCACAGTTCATCACCTGAGGAACCCTTTTTTTGGCCAAAACATAAACCCATCTCTATTTCCAGGCACTCAAAGCACAGTACAGAGGATGGGTAATTTAGCTGTCCCCATCCTCAGTGTGCAGTGCCTGACCTTCCAGCAGACTACACTGAAACCCCCACATGCAGCCACTAAAACACATCCTTCTCCCAGCCAAACAACCACCCGGGGTCACCTACCTGTAATGGCATCTCTGGATCAAATTCAAACTGGGGAATAAGTTTAGTCCAAGGCTCAAACTTCTTTGTTTCTGGATCAATGTAAAAGTCAAAGACTGTGCCCTGAGAGGGAAACTTGATTGTCTTGAATTCTGCCACCCACCACTTGCTGAACTCCACTCTGTAATCCACAAGCTGCAAGACAAAGAGAGGAGAAAATATGCTAATCTGGAGAAATTCATTAGTGATGGAGAATGTTATCTATCCCTGTCCAACAGAGTGGGATTAGTCCCTAAAATATATTCCACAACATAACAATCTTATCCTTTTTCCTATTATTAAGCCTAATTTTTCATTTTCTTCGTTTCTTCTCATCACTCCTATTTATTCCCCTAAATAATTCATCCTCTGTGTTGATCACTCCTAGTCTGTCTGAGATGAGATAGATGGATCAATTTGAAAAAGAGAAATACGTGCCTATGCCTAAACAGACACTTGATTGATTCTTGGTGCCTACTTCTTCCAACAGACAAGGACACCACATCCGTCTCCATCCGTGGCCATGGATAGTCAGAGCATGCATACCAAAGCCCTTCCTCATAAATCACACCACTCTGCAAACACTTGGTTGTTGTTTTCTGGCCTCTTTTCAAGCAGGAGCAGCAGCACTGCAGACACCAGCGCACCAAAGCCCTGGAGAGGGACTGTGCTCCTGTGGCTGTTTCCGTGCCTGAGAAGCACCTGCTTTCCTGCTTTTCCCATTCCATCTTTCTGCATGGAGATTTTGGAGCATCTGAATTCTTGACAAGAGCTGGGGTGACAGTTTTGGCTTTAGATGTTGAGTCAGGACTAGCACATTGGGCTTAGTCCCCTCTCCTGCCCCAACTTTCCTCTGTGACACTGGGCCAGTCACTCTACCTTCCCACACAGACCACAGGGACTGCAACCTTCAGCCCTGTGGAGAAGTAGAGGAGGGAGGGGAAATGTGCTGCTAAAAAAATGTCTGTGAATGACTAGATGCATAACTGAGCCAGTTTTAGCAGCACAGGTTCCTCCTGGGGCACCTGTGGGTCCCCACAGCCACCCCATGGGCCAGAAGCGCAGGGGTGGTCAGGGGGACCGCCAGCACACATGGATTGCTCAGCCTCTATCAGTAGTCCTGGGTTTGAACTGAGTGTCCTCTGCAAATCCCCTGAGCCACCACCCCTCAGAAGACCAGAGGATCTGCAAGACACGTTATTAGTATCCAGGATTTTGCAGTCTTGCGCTACCCAGAGGAGCATTATGACTGTAATCTCCATTCTCCTGTTGTTACAACCCCCCAGCCTGGCAGTGGAGCAGCAGAGAGGGACAGGCAGCACTGCTAAAAGCTTTCTCACAGTGCTGCCCTTACCCTGCCTGCAGAGCAGTGGGATGGGCTGCCTGCCTCCCTGAGCCCTCAAGTGGAGCAGTTCCAACCCCAGCTCTACTGCCAGAACAGTGTCAAGCTCAAACTGCTTCCTTAACAAAAACCCCATATGGATTTCTGCTAATTTCAGAGCCTGGAAATGGCAAATCTATCATCTGTTTTTATCCAGGGCCCCTCTCCTCAGCACCAAACAGAGCAACAGGAAGCCTTCCAGCCTGTTTGCCCTGACATTTCAGCAGCAAAAGGTCAGCACAAAGGGCCCCCCTCAGCGGGGAGCAATGAACAGCTTTTACACTGGCTTATTTTCCAGGAGGCTGCCCCTCTCCCGGCTGCGGTGCTGCGCTCTCCTCGCTGACATTCACAGTGCAGCAGCGCCCTGCCCAGCCTCCCAGCCGGGCATCCTCCCAGCCGGGCATCCTCCCAGCCCGGTCCATCCTCCCAGCCCGGTCCATCCTCCCAGCCCGGTCCATCCTCCCAACCCGGCCCATCCTCCCAGCCCGGCCCAGCCTCCCAGCCAGGCATCCTCCCCGGGGGATGCTGTGCCTGCACGCAGCTCCTGTGCCACACACCTGGCTGTGCCATGACCCTGCTCCGGGGCAGCTGGCACAGCTCCTGTGCCACACACCCGGCTCCGGGGCAGCCGGCACAGCCGGCCGTGCCAGGCACTGACTGCCACACCATGGGAACGCTGTGTCCATGTGCCACTCCCCCCCGCTCTCCAGGGAACCCACCCCAGGAACCGGCAGCTCCCCCGAGGAGACAGCAGCTCACACTGTGGGTCGGGGACCAGGCGTGCTCTCCAAGTTTGGTTTGTCGGCTTTTTAACTCACCCTGCGCTGACGACACTAAGGGTGAGTTTTTCCCAGCTGGCACACCAGGACTGGAGGGGAAAATCCTCCAAAGGACCTAAGGAAAGTGGACTCATACAGGTCATTCCATGGCCCCGAGGTGTGATGGCACCACGCTGAGCGTGACCAGTGTTTATCCCTCCCTGAAATACCTGCTCCTTGGCTGGGAGCAAACACAAGGAGTCCAGCAGAGGTTGTTGGTTTAGCACTGAGGAACACGGACAAAACACACTGGGACCCCAGTGAGCACCTGAGCAGCCCCTGAGAACAGCAGGGGGAACATGTCTGCTGTCAGGTTCATGGAGAGACCTCCACATGTTCCAGACAACACAAAGCCTACCAGACACCAGGTTTGGCTCTCGGAGCCCTCGACAGCAGTGTCCTGTCACTGGGCAGACCCATAGGCAGGACAAAAGACTTTATCCTCTGACCAGGAGATGTTACCACCCAGCAGGTCCCAGCAGGGGCCAGGCAGGACCAGACTGAGCAGCTCCAGCCAATGCCAAATGTGCCTCCAGCAGCAGGTTTCACAGACACTCCCACTGCTCCCTGTGCCATCTGCTGAAAGCCTGGGACTCCAAATCTAGGTCTTCACATACCACACGTGCTCTTAGATCCCTCTACAAGTGCTTTAGGTTTCTCCTGCCTGCCCTGAACCAATAACATGACAAATTTCCAGCTTTCCCAGCCATCAGTGTGGAAACAGCAATGCCAAGGGAGGTTGGAAAGGCATCCTGCAAGCACAGGCATGCACACAGCCCACTGCCCTCTTGCCTGTTATCACTGCTAACAGCTGGAAGTTATAAAACAGCAGCAGCTTTTCCAATTGCTTAGAAGTCAAGAGACAGCCCTGCTGTGTCCAGCTGAGCCATGTGGCCAGAAAACAAGGCAGAATGGGACATAGGGTGATGCCTCTCAAGGCATCGGGGCAGAGAGAGGGGCAGAAAAACAACCCTGCCTTTCCTAGGCAAGTCTAGATCTTTCCCAAGATCCCTGTTGTTCATGTACTCCAGCTTCCACAAGGCAGCTGGGATTGCCTGTGCTTCTCCCATGTTTTAAGGACCAGGACCTGGGAGGGGGCTGGAAATGTGCAGTATCCAGTGCTGCCTCCGGGGATACCTCCCTGGCAGAGATCACACCCACCTCCTCTAATGAGGACAGATGGATTCTGAGCTGACAGCTGCAATCAATCCATGGCATGGATGTGCTGTGGGAAGCAGCAAGGACAGGGGGGCCCTGTGTCCCTCTTCCCCGTGGACAAGAGAGTGCTTTGAACATCAGAGGCGCCGCTAACGAACCATGGGCTGATTAATCCTCAGAGCCCAAGAGGAGCTTGGTCTCTGGACTGTGGCATTCTTTTGTATCTGGATTGTGCCCTCCTGTGCTGTGGGCATCCATCCACCAGCACCCCAACCAAGCCCAGCTCCTCACTGCAGAGACCCCCAATAGCTGCCCACCCAGAGGGGAGGTCAACTGAGAGCTCCAAGCACCCACCTCAGCCTCACCAGCACACTCAGCCAAGGCTGCTCCACTTCAGGGGGAGCACGAAGCCCATCCTGCCCTGCCCTGCCCTGCTGACCACCCCTTTCTTGTGTAATTCTACCAGAAACTGAGGGCAGTCAACTCTCAACATCCACCTAGTAACAGTCAGAATTGGTTTGTGCTATACCTGCACATTTACCTGCACAGTCAGGTGGCTGGATAAGGCTCCACTGATGGATTCATCTGATCAGTCCATCTTAACTTGATCACGTTATGAACATCCACACACCTCTATAAATTAACCTGATGTTTCTCCCCAGTGAAATGTTTCTTCATAAGCAAACATGCCCCCACCTACATCCCATGACCCCCCAGCCATTCCCTGGTGTTACTCCCTGGATAACAAGGCCTTTACTAAAAGGGATTGTTCAGTTGAGGTTTCTGGGTCAAACAGCATCACTGACACAGCACTGGGTCTGGGAAGGTAGGAAAAAAATTCAAAAAGAAAAGAAAGATCTGTGTGAAAGGTGCTGATGTGCCACCTTCCTTCTTACCTGGTCCTGAAACATGGATCCACCAAAGGCCCAGACAGCAGCAAAGACAAAGTAAAGCTCATAGAGCTCCTTGGGACAGTCAGAAGGTGTGTTCTCCTCGGTCAGGAGGCATTCCAGGAGGTAACAGAGCGTCTGAACCATGTTCTGCTCAGGAACGGGAATAATCTTCTTAAATCTAAGGGATGAAAATCGAAAGCATGGGGAATATAATTGGGTGAAGCACCAGGGTTGCTCCAGCCCGGGAAGGCAAGGCAGGAATGCCTTGTCAGAACATCAGCAGTTTCCTTGCCAGCAGTGTGTGTGTCATTCCCTTTTCCCTGCCTCATTCCCTGGAACAGCACTAAGAAGAACACCCATCCCTTCCCTGGGCTCTCTGGCACTGGCACACACACACATAATAACAGCAATCAGAAGTTTCAAGCATTTTAAAACTTTGATCCTCTTGAAAGAAGTAAAATGGAAGAGTTGCTGAAGGCAATGATTTCCTGGGAACACGAGGAGTTGAAAAGCGGTCACATAGAGGAGTAATAAAACCAAACCTTTCATCTTGCCATTTTACATTCGTTTAAGCTACACTTAGAGAATTCCAAACTAATACTGTAGCAGCACTGAAGTCCTCCATAAAGTAATTACAGCTATTTGAAAGGTTGGTTCTACAATTTCTGAATTAAGCAAGCTACCGAAATACTCTGCTCAGGGCTGCTGCAGCTAATCCTGGGATTTCACGGGCTGACACAACGCTCAGCAAAGAGGGGGGGAGGTGTCAGATGGACTTGGCTGCTGAGCTTGGCACCCAGAGAACAGCTCCCTAGCAAGATTCCCAGCTCCCACTCCCAAGGAGCACTGCCTGCATTAAAGCATCTCCTCCTGACCCCTCCTCATTGGGGCTGACAACGGAGTTGCACATTGACTTTTCTTCTTTTTTTATATATATTTTTTTTAATGCAAGTGTGACTATGGGGAACAAGCAGAAGATGGGAGAATCATACAATCATAGACTGGATTGGGTTGGAAGGGACCTTTTAAAAGTCATCCAGTTCATCCCTCTGCCATGGGCAGGGACACCTTCCTCTAGCCCAGGTTGGCCTTGGACACTTCCATGGATAGAGCAGCCACAGCTTCTCTGGGCAACCTGTGCCAGGCCCTCCTCACCCTCACAGCTAAGAATTTCTTCCTAATACCTAATCTAAATATCCTTTCTTTCAGTTTAAAACCATCACTCCTTGTCCTATTGCAACAGGCCCTGCTAAAAGGTTTGTTCCCAGCTCTCTCACAGGCTCCCTCCAAGTACCAGCTCCCTCCCTCAGGGTCTTTGGATCTTTCCCTTGGCCAGTCCTCACCACTCTATGGGTCAGAGAGCTGTGTCCCATCATGATAAGCAAGAACTGTGGTCTTGCCCAACTTCTCTGTGGGCACCACTTTGAGAGCAACTTAAGCCAAGGAGCACCAGGACCCTTTCAAATATCCAGGATCTCTATGTTCATCAGTCTGGTGTCCAGCAAGGAAACATGCCCAGCTGGATGTTCACACTTGATTGTGTTCAAATGCAGGAAAGAAATTCAAGAGAAGACTGCCTGGACAGCAATCCACCCTCTTCCACAAACACCAGCTTCCTTCTCATCCCCAAGGGGCAGGAAAAGAAGTGGGCAGAGGATAAAAGAGGATCTGCTCTCTCCATCTTCCACACTGCACATGGAAAACTTCCCTCCAGCAGTGGTCTAAATCTGCTCTGCTGAAAAATAACTTGTGAACTCAGGTCTGGGCTGACACAGCAGGAGACTGGAAAGACTTCCTCTTTAGGACCTCCTGGATTAACTTTCCAGGAGATACAGAATCAATACAAGTACAGGAACAATCAAGACACTATCCAGTGAGGAATAGATGTGCCCAGACAAGGATGGGCAGGAGTGTCAGCTGCCCCCTGATGAGGAACATCACCCTGCTGTTCCTCTGAGCTGAAGCCAATGACACTCAGGTCTCTGGGCACACTGGGCACACACGCTACACAGAGCACAACCCCAGTGCAGCTGGGCTGGAGAGCACTGAGTGAGCCCCTGCTCCAGGTGGTACCTTGTCCTGAGGGTGTCCAGGCAGACTGGCAGGTATTTGTCAAACAGGATGGTCAGGTTGGCTCTCTCAGACTCGATCTCTCGCCGGTCAATCCAGCTGCTCACCGGGGGATTCCAGCCCAGGTCTGATGGGTTGATGTACAGGATCCCTGCAGGCCCAGGGGAAGAGAGAATTTACAATGAGGACACAGCAGAGACCACAATTTCCCAGCAGAACTTCTCAGCTACTTTCACACAACTAAAACCCTACCAAACACACCTGGTGCCCCATTACCTGCTCCCTCCTCCTGCCCCACTGCAGAGTAGAAACATTAGGAGTGAAGAGACAGAAGTCAGGAAACCAGGACACCTTTCATGACTCTGCCCCAAATTTTGAACATGATCGTGTCTGAGTCTGGTTATTGCTGTGGGCCCCAGACATGAGGGGACACCTTCATTCCCTTCTCCCATGTACTTCTCCAAAGATCAGGAGCATTTTGGGATGGAGACTGGCCCTCTCCTCATCCATCAGAGCTGTGCAGGAGCACTGTCTCAGCAGTGCTGGAGCCATGGTCACACACCAGCAGTCAGAGCACTCAGGGTACACTCCCAGCATGGTGACAGGTCCCCACATGGATGCAGGGTCAGGATCCTCGGTTTGTCCGTGTGCTTCAGGAACTGACCCTGCACACCAAGGGCAGCTGTGTTCCCAAGCTGGCAGCTTTCAGGAGGGACCAAGCTGGCCAACAGAAGGCTGACTAACAGCACTGGCTGTGCTTGCTCCGTGCAGAATCCCAAGTGGGACTGATGCCAAGACTCACCCGCCCTGGACACGGTGGCCGGGGTGGCCGTGCGCAGGTGGCTGATCTCGAAGAGCAACCTCATCGTCGGCTTCAGAGGGATCCTCTCATTGCTGGCCAGGGTCAGCACCTGCACGTGGCACAGACAGACAGACAGACAGACAGCCTGAAGCTCCCCCAGGCACAGTAATGAAGAGCATTCAGCGCTTGGCTGCTGAGCCCAGCTTCCCGAGGAGCTGTCTGGCAAAGGGCTGCAATCCCAGCACTGTGTCTAGCACGTCAGGGGAGGAGATTCTGCCCCACTGCTCTGCTCTGGTGATACCCCATCTGCAGAGCTGCCTCCAGCCCTGGGGGCCCAGCACAGGAGGGACATGGAGCTGTTGGAGTGAGTCCAGAGCAGGCACCAAGATGCTCCAAGGGCTAGAGCACCTCTGCTGTGGGGAAAGGCTGAGAGAATTGGGATTGTTCAGCCTGGAGAAGGCTCTGAGGTGACCTAATTGTGGCCTTACAGTAGCTGAAGGGGCTCCAGGAGAGCTGGAGAGGGACTTCAGACAAGGATCTAGAGTGACAGAACAAGCAGGAACAGCTTCAGACTCAAAGAGTAGGTTTGCATTGGATGTTAGGAAGAAACTCTTCCCTGGGAGGCCCTGGCACAGGTTACCCAGAGCAGCTGTGGCTGCCCCATCCCTGGAAGTGTCCAAGGCCAGGTTGGACGGGGCTTGGAGCAACCTGGGCTGGTGGAAGGTGTTCCTGCCCATGGCAGGGGATGGAGTGAGATGAGCTTTAAGACTTCCTCCGACTCAAACCATTCTGTGAGTCTACAGCATGATTTCCAACAGACAGTAGAATGACCCTTCTCCCTCAACACAGATTCCACAGCACTCCCCCAGGGTGTAAAATTATGCCCCTGCTCTATTTTTAAAGGGCCTGAAGTCACAGTCAGGACATTTGTTATTACTCACAAGTGTAACTCTCCAGAAAAGGGAAATTCCAATGAAAACAAACTCTGAACTATTTCCCTCATGCACCATTTCCTTTATGCAATATTGTTTGGTTTCCCTGAAGGAACACAACTGCATTATTCCAGTAGGTGTTATTTAAGCATCTGCATTTCCCCTGGGCTGAATCACACCCAACACCTGCTGCTTTACCTTGTATGCATTACCTTATTGTCATCCATCACAGTATTAAGAGATTCAATCCACATTGGATCAATATCTCCATCCAGTACTATCCACTTGGGACCATCATGTGTGAGGTTGGCCAGCTCTCGCATGATTGATGAGAACAGTCCTGGGAAGGTGACAGGAATATGTTGATGAACACTGAAGTTGTCACTTCCTTTAACAGTTTTTCTAACAACTTACTAAAAATTATGCCTTCCTCTTAAGCTTTCACAACTTCTTTGCATCTGTACATAAATAATACCATATCAAGATATCTACTTTGAAGAAAAAGGACATTATCAGTTATTATCACTGAAAATGACTGCAGACCTACACAGGCTTCATTCCCACTGCAAATCATAAGGGATAAGAAAAATGAAGAGCAAATACTCAGAGACAAAAGAAGGCATGAATTCCACAATGCAGAGAAAACCATCTGAATATGCCTTGGAAATTCTTAATAAACGTTTTTTTGATTTTTTTTTGTGTGTGGTTTGAAGTGTATCAGGGAAATCAAGATGCATTAAATGCTGGGTCATGGCTTCAGTGAGATTGAGGGGAGAACAAGCACAGACTGACATTGAGTGACAGAACAAAATGTCAGTGAAATCAAGGAGACAGAGAGGATACAGTGTCTCAAGGGGAGTAAATAATGAATGTTAAGAAGAGCAAGAAGCTGGGAACAGAGCAGCAGCACTGCAGGGCAAATGAGAGCTCCACAAAACCAGCGCTGTCCTCCACATGAGGAAGTACCTGGGGAAAGACTGGGCTGCATGAAGGAATAGCAGGCAAACACTAAAAAAAGCCTCTCTGATGGTGAATTGTGACAAGCATTCTCCTTTTTTTTCTCCAGCACAAGCTATTCCCTTGTGATCCAGGTCAGGAATGGCCGGTGGTGTTCTATGACTGAGACAAAGCTTGCATATAACAGATGCAGAACAGCTCATCAGACACAGGCACCTGACTCTGAGAGCAGGTCAGAAAGTAACACTTCCCTGGCTCTGCCCTGACTCCATTCCTCACACTGGACATGTCTTGGCAAACACTTCAACCCCATCAGTGTCAGAACAGCTCCTGTCTCAGAGCGTCAGTGCTTCCCTCACAGACACCACCACAGCAGAGGGGAGGGAAGTGCCCTCTCCCAGCCTGGTGCATCCACACCACAGAGTGGCCTTGGGATTTAAAGGGAGAGTTTGATTCTAAAGAAAACACTTTTAGGATTCCCTTGTGAGACCTTTTCCCATCTTCCACGTACAAACTCTCCAACTGCTGGCAATGAAATGAGTGACAGAATGAACCAGGGAAGAAGAAAAGGAGGAGCTGATTCATAAGGGAACACATCCTCTTGTCAGGCTGTGGTGAAAATGGCCTGGCTGGTCTTTGACATCAGGAAACAAAATTTTCAGGAATGGTTAATGCAGGCAGTATGTACCTTAAGCCCTCAGGGAGGAGTCATGTGAGCTCTCTTGAAACATTAGAGGCTTGAGACCACTGGGCATCCACCTGCCAATGTCCCTCCTGCTGTCCAGTGACAGTCCCTGACCCTCATTCCCCACTGCAGCCCTTCTGCAGGGCTCTGTATCCCACACTTCCCTCTGTCACTTTGATTTAGGGTCCCCAATAACAACTAAATAGAAATTAACCCTGGCACTGGAGGAAAGCAGGGGGGCAGGAGAGGCTGTGGCAGGACCAGGGTTGGTGGGGGCAGCTCATCTCCTGGCCCAGGATGATTTATGGTGACATCCCCCCACCTCTCCCCCTGCCACCTCCCAAACCAGCCACACACAGGATCAAAGCTGCCTTTCCAGATCACTCACAACCCAACGTTTTCACTCCAGATCTCTGTAATCTTTCAGCAGGTTTTAAATGCTCAACCTGTCCTTCTCAGCAGCAATCAGGATCAACGGCCTGGCAAGGGCCGTTGTCTGTATGCTGGAGATCAGACAGTGATAGCTGGTGGAAAAACACCACTCAAAGGCTGCTGTGAGTGTGCTATCAGGTATGGAAACCTGGGGATGGCACATTCTGGGGGACCACAGTGCACACCATAGGGCAGGAGGGAACTCTCTTCCATCACTAGCCCAGCCCCAACCTGCCCCAGTTAGGAACTGGGAAGTGTTGGTGTTAATGGACAGGATAATTATCCTTATGGCAAAAGAATAAACTCCCATTTGATAATCAAAAACCTAAAACACCCTCCATGTCCTTTCAACAGCAGCCCCTCCCATGGCTGGAGCAGCACACAGGCCCCTGGGCTGCCACTCAGGAGGTCCATTAAAAACATCCTTTTTATCTGCAGATTCAGCATGAAAAGGCATTTACCATCCTTCCACTCTCTCGTTGCTGGATTAATGATGCCAAAAAGCTCATCACTGGTGACTGCCTTGGGGTTGAGGTCTGTCCACACAGGACGTCTCTTCATTATCTGGTGGGTCCTGTGCAGGGATCTCATCACCTGGGACTTGCCCGTGCCCGCGTTTCCCACCACGAACACGGAGTGTCGGACTGTCAGCAGCTCCTCCAGCTGCACCACCTGGGAAAACACTCCCACAGCTTAGACAAAGATGCAAAACTGAAGTTCAGATCTAAAAAACCTGGTCTAGCAGAAGGTGTCCCTGTCCATGGCAGGGGATTGGAATGAGATAGCCTCGAAGGTCCCTTCCAACCTAAACTATTCTGTGGTTCTGTGATTGTATGAAATGAGCTCTCCTTGGGCCTCTCCTTTAGGAAGCTGTGACCCAGAGACGCAAATGGACTTGATACTGAGTTTGTTTTGCTCTGGGCACTCTAACCATGATATGTGGGCAGACAAACCTCCTGGAAATACCATCTGACAGCCATCAAGTGAGGAGCCTCTGCTCTCCAGGGCCACATGTGCATGAGCCTACGAGAGTCAGTTCCTTGGCCAACTCAGGGACGAGGCAGTGCTGGTTTTAGGGGCAGCTGCAACTGCATCAGACCCACCACAGCTGACTGTCCTCCATCAGGGTCTGTCTACAAAGGGAATATTGTGGCTGCTCCAACCCTGTAAGTGTCCAAAGCCAGGTTGGATGGGGCTTGGAGCAATCTGGGCTAGTAGAAGGTGTCCCTGCCCATGGCAGGGGCGTGGGACTGGATGATCTTTAAGGTCCCTTCCAAACCATTCTGGGATTCTGTGACTGTGCAGAGCCCTCTTTGTAGAAGCAAAGAGTGTTGGGAAAACCCAAGTGATCTGATGCTGGTGTAGGCAGAGAATATCGCTTGGTCTCACTTTGAGCACAAAGTTGTCCTCAGGCTGCAGCCGCAGCTCCAGCACAGCCTGTCTCACCAGCGCCTCAAAATCCAGGTCACGCTTCCGAGGCACACCCAGGGCGGGGAACAGATCCCCAATGAGCCCCATGAACACGGGCACATCATCTGTCACGATCTTGGGGATGTTGAAGTCGCGCAGGGAGCGCATCAGAACCTGCTCCTCGGGGCGCTCGGGGTCGGCGCGTTTGAGGGACCCGGCGACAACCAGCACAGACTTGATGGCACGGAGCCCCCAGTCATAGTGATCCTGCAGGGGGGAAGGGAGACATCAATTAACAAGAGTTTATGACCACCATGCAGGGGAGGATCTCAGCTCCCAGCTGTCAGACCACTCAGCAACAGAAACACTGAAAGTCAAACACGCCATCACAGAATATTCCGAGCTGGAAGGGACCCACAAGGATCTTCAAGTCCAACTCTTCACTGAATGGCCCCCCCAGGGATTGAACCCACAATCTTGGCATTATTAGCACCAGGCTCTAACCAACTGAGCTCATCTCAGGGTTATCAGTGTTGTGAGCAGAGACCTCCACCACTCCGAGTTACCTGATCTCCATTCAAACAGGTGAGCTTCCCATCATGGAAAGTATTAAAGAGTCATATAATTCAGCTGTTTATGCCATGCCATGGGCTCAGAGCTGGCACTAAGTCAGCAGTAGGATTTGCACTCCAGAAACCTAAGCAATTTTTTCCCCCTAAATCACAAAGCAGTTTGTTTGGCCTTTATGCAGCTCAGGCAAGGCCAGCCAGAGCCCTGGATCAGCAGGAGCTACTGAGCTGAAAGGCTTGTTAGTCCATTCTGAGGCCCCAGATACCCAAGGTTCTCCATCCTGCCCATACTAGGCTGCGAGGCATGTTTGGTCCTGGGGAAAGTCCACCAAGCAGATACTGCTCAAAAGGAATCACAAAGAGGCCTGAGAGGAGCTCAGGCCAACAGGCAACCCCTTCTGCTCTGTTAAGACCTGTAGAGCCCAGCCTGACAGCTGAAAGCTTTGTGTAGGAGGCCATGGCTCCCATCAAGGCCTCCAGAGCACAGCACATAGTTTCTGTGACAAGGCAGCCCCCACCAAAGCTCATGCTGGTCCAGCCCAGATCAGGTTTTCCATCTGGAGTCCTGATTCAACTCATTACTGGACCCAGATTTGATCTATGCAAGGAAAAATCTGATTAACTAGAGTTTTGCTCTGCAAGTGACCCTGTTATCAATACGTGACATGACAGGGAAGTGGTATTTTGGACTCAGAGAGGGACAGTCACCATAAACCCATTGCAGCAATAGGAGCCAAAAAGCCTGGAAAGCACTGAATACCACCCCGACCGTGGTGTCATTTGGTCCCTTTGAGAAATCTCTCCCACTAATGCAGTTGGTCAAGTGCTTTTGTCCCTGCAGATCCTCCAGGAGAGCAGCTTGATGCTCTGATGGTCACACACCTTCCCTTCTCCCAGCAGCTGCCACCAACACAGTCAGTAAATCGAAGCTGTGAAGCTTCAGTCATGGAGGTGCGTGGCAGAGCGCCACATTCCTGATTTTGGGAATGCACAGGCACAGCAGTGGGCTCACCTGCTTGGACAGGAGCTCTTTGCAGAGCTGGTAGAGGGTGATGAACTTCCTGGCCAATGCTCGGGCCTCGATGAACCCCTCAGCCACCAACATGATCTCACAGATCAGCTCAAAGTCTGGCACAACCATGGCACAGGGCCTGGGGAGACAGCAACAAGAGACTGCACAGCAAGTACTGACAACACATCTTAAAGGCAGTGGGTCTGTAACTTTATCTTCCAGGTCTTCTCCAGGGAGGCAGGTCACACACTGCCTTCCCCAGGCACAGAGCTCCTCTGCCCTCCCTGTGTGTTCCCAGAGCCAGGCTTGGTGCACAAGGCTGAAACTACCTGTGAATCCCCAATGCAAGTCAGTGTCCCAAGAAAACAAAGCCAAACCTGGATGTTCCAAAGGATAATTTCTGCTGCTCTTATAACACAGGTAACAAACTTGACCTCAACTCACCTGAATAGAGCTTTCAAATTCTCGGGTAATTCAGTTCGTCCTGCATAACCAGGGTTCATGGTGATGAAAATGCCTACTGAGGGGACCAAGTTAATGTCTTCTCCAAGAAAATTAAAGGATTTCTTCTTCTCCCGTATGGCATCCTGCACACTCTTCACCTGGGAACCAAGGCAGTGCTTAGTGCTGCTGTTCAGTTATGAAACCCCCCCAGACTGTTGTCCCTACACTTGGCCCATGACAACTGGGGATTATCAGTGCTCTGGTTTGGTTTTTTGCTAACCAAATAAAGCTTTATACACTGTTTAGAGCAAATTTGTGTGGCAGTATCAGTCTCCCATCACCGTCATCTCCATCAGCACATCTCACAGCAAAAACACCACGAAAGGATAAACCAGCTCTTCCAAGTTCCCAATGCAGCAGGAAACTTGACCTCAGCTCAGTTGCAAACAGATCACTTGATGTTGCTTTTAAAGGCTTTGGGACATCAGATGCCTAACTTAAAACCAAACCCACAAAGCAGAAGCTCGAAGACCTCCCCTGACACCTTCACTCACTAACATTGGCTGGTCTGTTCTATTTGCCTGATGGCAGCTTTGTTCCTCTCACTCCCCACTTTCCAAGGGAGCAAATTCACTACAGCCAGACCATCTCATTCCCAATGGGAACGAGTCCATCACAGCCAGATCACCCCCTTGCAAACAGCACTTGAGCGAGGGAGGACTCTTCCTGTTCGCTGCTCTCACCTCACTTGTGTTTGCCATCTTACAGTTAAGCAATTAATGGAGTCTCTCTGCAAGGCCCCACATGGACATTAAGCTGCATGACTAAGACAGCCAATTAACCATCTCCATGGTTACCCTCCTAAGAGCAGGCAGGAGAGGAATGATGGAATGACAGCCCTGCCTCCGACACAGCTCCAGCCAGGAGCCAGGGCATCATTAGCAGTTGAGTCATATCTGGGCTTCTTTTGTTCAGCTTCCCTTTTTATTTTAAGATCCTCAAAGATGTTTTTCAACGACAACTTTAAACTAGAACCCAATGGAAGGGAAATGGAGAGGGAATGACACACAAACTCATGTACCCGCTGGGGACTTCCTTGGGACATCACGTGGGGTACAGTGATGAGAGAAAGACATGAGAGGAGTGCAGAGTTCATGGAGGGGTTCAGAACAGCTTCTTTGACCAAAACACTTACAGAAGTGTAAAAACTTCTGGGCTCTAGATCTTTCTCTCTGCAATGAGATGGGATCTAGGAAAAATTCATAACCCAAAACCTTCACTCAGCTGACACTTGGTTCCAGAAGAACTTGGATACTTCACACCTCAGTTTTCAGCACTGAAGTCCCCCAAGACTCAAAACCTTCAGTTCTGCCTAAGTGGGAGCTGTCTGGGTCAGATAGTGCAGTTGCCATTCCAACTCCTCTGGCAGCTGATTTACCAAGCATTTTCAGCAGATTCCCACGAAATTTGGGATCTAGACAAATCCCAGATCCAGCTCTCCCTCAAAACATGGGCCAGAAGCTGCAGCAGTGCCTGCTCTCATCCTGCTGCCCTGCGGTCATACCTGGGCTGCCCAGATTTCAGCCCCTGCCAGGAGCAACTCACACCCACGGGGCTTTCCTTGGTGCTCCCTCCTAATTTCCTGGACAGGGGAATCTCCTCCCATAGTTCTTTCCCCTCTGTAAAACATTCCCAGATTTCCCCATGAGCCAGTGAGAGGAAGGGGAGGAAGGAAGGAAGGAGGGCAGGAAGAAGTTGCACAGCCCTGGGGACGGGTAAGGATTAAGAAAATGACTTTTGAGTGTATTCCTGTTTGTTGAACATGACCCACAGCCTGTGTCTGACTGGAGGCAATAAGTAACCCCCCAAAGTCCAGCAGCACGTGGCTCTGCCCCAGACACCATCGTCCCCTCCAAGGAAATGGTTCCCAGGTAGCATTTGCAGCAGCCATCAGTCAGGGCAGCTCTCCTCCCTGCAGTGATACGCTGAGATTACCCCCAGCACATCAATGCCACGAGGGTCTTGCTCAGGAGGAGCAGGTAGAGACATGGTGGGTGCTGATCTGGGAGAAAAAGCTGTAAAGAATTGCCTCCACACAAGTGCTGTGACCAGAGGAAGAAAAGAAATGGCAAAAATACTTTCAGCACGTCACTGCTGCATTTTGCCCATGCTGTGATATTCACATGATTAATCTTGGGATATATCCCTCAGCTGCCCTCACAAACTGAGACTGGCAACAGGCTCTTCCCATATTTACCCTCATGCCAAAGGCTGCAGCACAGCTCTGCCTCATCTGTATTTATTCACTTACCTGTACAGCAACCACCGAAAGGACCTCAACTGAGATCCTGTTAAATTCATCAAAACAGCCCCAAGCTCCTGTCTGGGAAAGGCCTTTGTAAATATTCCCACAAGACTGAAAAGAAAAAAAATAAAATAAAATTACAAGAGTAAAATCACAAGTGGAATCAACTCCAGCAAAAAAATGGATTTTATTTCCCAGCCTGTTTATTTATAGCAATTTACAGCCTATTGTGGGCATTCAGGAAAGTGCATGGGAGCAGCAGGCACCACTCAATTATAATATTTATAGCTCTGCACAGTTTGCCTCTTGATTTGCTAATTGCCCTCCCTGACATCTCTGTGCTCCACTTCCATTTAAAGGTCACTGGGCTGAGTTACTGACTCAGTTATCCCCCTTCCAGGAGAGACCTGAGCTGGATAAAATATGATGCAAGGCCACAAACCCACTGCACCGTGGCAGAGCACAGGGCTCAGCCCCACAAACCCAGCTCGAGGTTCAGGACACTTTGGCCCCATCCCAGGAGAGGATCCTGGGAAAACCAGGAGAGGTCCCTCCCCAGTGGCAGCCTGGAGTGTGCTGAGAGGAAACAGCCAGGGTGGTCTCAACTGAACAGGTCAAAATTTTCAAAGCATTACAGGTGGAATCTACCTCCAGAAAGGAAGGGAAGAGCTCAGCTTGGCTCTCTGCCTCCTGAAGAACCTTGTGTAAGTCTTAGAG